AACCTGCAACATAAACGGCCTCACTTAACGCCGGGCTGGTAGCAACTGAGCATAAGTTGCTAGAACCCGCCACTCAGTACGAAAGCGCTAGTGTTGCAATTAGCTGCAAGACAGTTAAGGCTTGAAAATAATGGTGGATTTATTAATTACCTATCATTTCGTTGCATTGACTGTAATACAAGCAATTTGCAATATGTTCTATCATATATTTAGTAAAGTATCTTTTCATTTCCTGGAAATGTCATGTAGAACAGATTCAATGCAGGTCGATCCTTTGGACCAAAGACTACCAAACAGAGACACTCCTACGTATCTCAAATAGAGTTCTGTAAAACATGTATTTTAATCCGCTATATTGGCACCTCGCTTTGCATGTTTTGTGTGGCGCGTGTGTTGAAACGTAATAAGTTTTTTACTTTCTCGTAAAGGAGTAATTATAGTAGTAGAGAGAAAGATAAATAATGCTGAAGCGAAAAGTGGCTTATTTCGACAAACTCATTTCGGTGCTCCCCGAAACCTTGAAAACGGATTTTTCTGGCTCGTATGTACGAAATAAATTACTTTCTCTAATACGTTGTGTAGTCCGTGATTCTTGATACCGAAAAATCGATTGACAGGAGAACATCTGTCCATCTCTAAAGAACGTTAGTGGCTAAACCGTAAGAAATATTTTCACCAATATTGATCTCCACAGGGCATTTGTAATGGCGTCGCAGCCACTTGAATCTGACACATTTATTTTGTTAAATAAAGCCTCAGCATTTTCGAAAACTTCTCTCGTGCAAAATTTCAATGCAGATTTAATTTATTCAAAAACAAATTGCATATCTCATTGGCATCATTGTTGTTATAAGTACATCTGTTCAATTTGCCACAAGAGACATCTATCCAGAAACTGTATTTTGGTATCATTTGTGAATGAATATTTAATTTGTTCAATATTAAGGGGACAATTAGGGACAATTAAGAACTTCAGTAAATTGTGCTGTGTGATAAGATCAATCAAATCAATGCAAACGAGGAGTAGAAATTGATTTCAATTAGTGTAATGATGTGGTCTGTGGTTGAGCTGGAATGGGTCATATATCGATGGTCATAATGCTTTACCACAGAGACTGAACATTTTTAGAACATCATTTAGTTTCTTACAGTCAGTTTATCAGAGTAGTAAGCCCACCGTTGTGCTTTCTTAGAAGTTTTAATGGCAGTTCTTTAAATTGAAATAGAAAGTCACTTGAATTAGAATTAGGGGTTCAATAGATAAGAATAATTTGTATGCTTCCTATTATTGTTGTTGTGTTTATAATAGTTCCTGAGAACTTCAAAAGACCAGATAATCATGAAGACCAGGTAATCATCATTAAGACCAAGTGGACCGATCAGGAAGTCCAAATATTCACGAAGACGTCATGAAGATAATATACATAGAAACTACTTACCGCATTTGCCTATAATTCTCATTCCACATCTCGAGACGGACTCGGAAGTATTAGGGAAGAGCTGCCGCAGTCGACGGGAACAACACTATGCTCTTTTTTGCCAAAAAAAAAACGTCAGCTTAAGTTGAAACTCTGCCGGTAAGGAAGATTCATATTATCGACGTCGGTGACTGTTAACCATACAATTTCCAACGACAATAGACCACCAAAGGATCAGCGCAAGTTTGATTTTTGTGTAAATTAAAGGTACAAAAAAATAAAGGTGCTACTTCACATGCTTTCTCGCATTATTTCTAAATTTGCAATTTCGGAAATTTCAGAGAGTTCAACGAAAATGAGATAGTACCATTATCTTTAGCGTCCCTTCTATCCGTGGAAAAAAATTGGAGCGGTTTATGAGAAAATATTTTTTGATTTATTCCTTGCATTTCAAGCACAAATTACGCGGAAATTTCTCGATTCTTCGAAAAATTGTTCATGACCTCTTTTAAAGATCTGATGGTTTACATCAAAGGCAAAAATCTCTATCTTCAATTTTGTCGTATTGAAATATTAACATTTTGCAATTTTCGAAATACAAAGAATTTGCTGAAAATGGGCTAGCGCCATTCTTTCTAGATCATT